GGGGGTCGTGCCCCTGTGACCGGGGGCAGGGTGGAGGGGGTGAGATGGGCAGTCAGCCCCCCCCCCCTTCAGATCTACCATCTGGCACCACATCTCCCCCTCAACCTCTGAGACACCCCCGGGGGGTGACGGCCTCATCTGACTGAGCCTGAGCCACAAAGGCAAGGTGGGAAGAAGATGAATCCCTTCCCCTGATCTGACCCCCGGCATCTGTCTGTCAAACAGAGGCCCTGACTCTAGAGCTGAGAACGAGAACAATGAATCAGCAACATTAGCACGAACGCATCTAAGAGGAAGCTGTACGTGAACGGGAAGTTGTCGCCCGGGTCGTCGGGCAGTTCTAGGAACTGTAGAAGGAACTACGACCACGGTGCTTCCTCCATGTTCAGAACATGTCACTCAAAGCTTCCTGTGACTGTGAATCAAACTGTGACGAAGCCGTCGTGATATTTTCACGGTGTTCCTGTAGAGCAGTCGCTCTGTCTGCCCCGTTAACCATCACCAGATGGACCTCAGGTCTGAGAGCTACAGCTGTCCAACAAAACCTCCTCCCTCTGCTCATGGTAAGTGCTGCTGAGCTGCATGTGGAGTCAATGAGCTCCTTGGAGAATTCTGGAAGGGGGCATTAGTGTGAACTGGAGAGGCCGTGGTGACCACTTCCTCTGAAGGGCAGCAGAGAAAGACGGAGATGAAGACTGGCTCTTTATTCTCTCAATCTAAAAGGCAACGCTACTGTGCGACCACTGAATATCAGCCAAAAAAAAAACCAAAAATATCATATCAACCAATCGACTTGACTCACCAGAAAATCCTCCTCACAGTAGACTTTTCCATTGACGTTATAGAAAGCTTTCCCTCTCAGCCTCCTTCCTGAAAAACAAAAGATATACGGTGTTTAGTACAGTAAATTATGTGGTTAGACTACGTTGGTCGAAGCATTAACTTGTATTATTTCCTTCATATTTGCATTTGATTCAAGTTGTTTAATTATAAGGTGTTTCAGTGCAGGGTCAAAATGCCAACAATAATAATAACTATTGTCTGAATTCACATACTATTTTACAGTAATATTGACTTGTGTTACATTTAAGTACATCATGTAAAAAACACCGCCGTGTTTAGTCCCACATCGCAGCAGGAGGTCAGTACAGAGCACGTGACGGAACATCCTGCTCCTGCCTCCACTTAATTACTCAGACCATTGATTCTCCAAGGATCCACTAACAATCAATACACAATCAATACAGCAGTCTGAAGACCTAAACCTCCGTCCTCACCCTCTCTCACCCGTCCTCACCCTCTCCCAGACTCTGTTGTCTGCCCTGCTATTGTGTTGAGCTCCTGCAGACAAACAATGGTGTGACTGGATACAGGAAGTTCCCAAACTAATGACACACACATACAAATTCTTATATAAATACAAGAAAAAGGTTTCTCTCTCTCTCTCTCTCTCTCTCTCGGCCCAGCGTTTCTTAAAAACGGTCCATTTCCAGTTCTGCAGTGAAACGACGCCACCTGAGGCAGATAAAGGACGAGCATCTCATAAATTCATCGCATTAGCATGATTTAATTGCCGTCCCGAGTTTGCGTTGATTTAACGGCCGTCCCAGCATGGGAACGATGTGCCGCCGTCGTCCTCCGACTCCCCCCGCCCTCCCATCCCCCCCCGCCCCATCAACCCCATCTGTCTCTAAACACTGAAATTTATGCAATTGCTGTATTTCACACACAAACAAGGTGTCACAATGTCGGGAGATGGCAATACATTAACACCCACGTAAATGGCTGCAGCGGCTCCGGGATGCCGTCCACACAATAGGTGAGACTTTTAAGACTTTGAGACCGAGTGGCAATTAGCATTTTGGTAGCGTAGCGGAGAAGAGAGGGAAAGAAAAAAAAAAAAAAAGCAGGACTGAGGAAGGAACTCCGTGTGATGCCACTCTGAGGAGACACCGTGTCCGAAAAAAAAAACGTTTGGAGAGGTTAGACTGGCAGGAGCGGAGAGATTCAGATGGTGAAGAGCAGCAGCAGCAGCAGCAGCAGCAGCAGCAGGGGCTGGGAGGTGTCGCTGTGTGCTCGTCTGTGGCCTCTGCTCTGGAGCTCTGGGTCTGAAAGGTGAACACAATGGCCTGAGCGCTGGTGACTGTGTGGAGCGCTGCTAGGGGAGCGGGCCAACTGAGCAAACGGGGACATTCTTTCTGCCTGAGGTCACTGGCTGGACCCATTCAACCCCCCACACCTCTCCAACACGCTCTCCGCCGACTCCCCTCACCAAGAAAAGGGAGGAGAGGGAGGAAGGGGTTTGGTGCCCTTCCTCCCTCTCTCTTTCCTTCTGCCCGTGCCCCCGATGTCACGCCAGAAAAAAAAAAAAAAGTCAATAATTGCACAATTTATTTTTAAGCGTCCTAGTTGCAGAACTCTTAGAGTTACCATGCGATGATTTCAACTTTATTTTGTAATTAATTGTTATGAATCAACGAATCAATTGTTTGTTTGCATTTAATCTGCAACAACATTTCCCACAGGGGGCGTTTGTTTTTGTGAAAATGATAAATGAATGGGAGCGCACGTTGGCTGTGTGTGTATATATATGTGTGTGTGTGTATATATGTATATATATGTGTGTTTATAGGTATATATGTATATATATGTGTATATATGTATATATGTATATATATGTGTGTGTGTGTATATATGTACAGTATATATATATACTGTACATATATACACATATATACACATATATACACATATATATAAATATATACCCAAATATACATATATAAATATATATTCGAGTTGCTTCATAATCTGAAACGTTGTCACACGCTGGTTGAACGTTACTGTTCCAGTAGCTGATTGGCTAAGGAATGTACATGATCAGGTGACATCTCACCGCATGATTGGGTCAATTGTTGCTGACATCACAGAAGGATTTTTTGTGTGTAAATAATCCATTATTTAGTAATTACAATAAACTGAAAAATGATTATTTCTCTGGCCTGAGGTTGTTGTTGCTCTCGTTGCCTTTGCACAGTGTTGTTGTTTTTGTCTTCCGTTGCACAATCGACAACACTTTCCTCTTTCTTCGAACTCTGTCCTCTTTCGAGCTCTTTTGATCTCTTTCCCCTCTGTCACTCGTACTCGATCCACGACCAGGGATACAAATCTCGTTCATCCCGTGTCTAACATGTGTTGGACATGACAATAAGGAACCTTGAGTTGAGTCCTTAAGTCCTTGAGTCCTTGAGTCTCAGTACCTCACCTCAGACAGCTCAGCTATAGTCCTGAAGACTAGAAGTTTGATTATCCATCGAGGGCTGGAATTTAACCCACAACATCTGCACAGCCTAGTGAGCTACAGTCTTCCCCAAACCTTCCATATCTGGATGATGCTCCATTTTTACTTATTTTATGATAAAAACATGTCCACCCTGTTCTTTCTTACTTGGTAGACGCACAGACACAAGTCAACAGTGATTTATTGCGACAGATTTCTCTGCCAGATGTTGCACTGTACTTCATTGTTGTGTATTCTGCTGAAGTAGTTCAACAAATTACTTTCTGGAGTGTGTTGTAATAGTTGTGGTAGTCTCAGCATGTTCCTCCTGGAGGGCGGATGTGAAGTGACACGACAAGAGTTTGGCTGGAGCTCTGTCAGCTCTGTTTGGACCGACGTTTTAAAGCTGTAGTTACGAAGGCCTACAGGACGACGATCACAAAAATGGACCGACTATAAGAGAGCAGCAGACTTTCTAATAAGGAATCTAACTTTAAGAAAACACCTACAAATAACGTTAACGTTTTTGCAGAAACTTTTAAGAAAACACCTACAAATAACGTTAATTTGTGCACAAACTCTGTCTCAGACTGCAGTACAACGTGTTCCAGAAACATGAATAAAACCCATTATTTAATGCATTATTTAATGCATTTCTTTAGGAAATCAAAAGTATTTGGGTTCTAGAACCAAACGTCTCGTACCAAGCACAACAGTCCATATTCAAACTCCACTACTCCCCAATTCCAAACGCTTAACTCAGGGCATAAAAATGAAAAACAAAATCGCGGTTGTACTTGACCTTGAACACTCTCCATTCCATCTCTCACTTAAGGCGACCCGAAAAACAAATTGAAGTCTGTTTAATCCGTCTCTATCTCTGACAGAGTTGCTTTTGTTGCCGTGTTATTAATACTGCTCTGATACAAGTGTGTGGGTGGACCACCGGGAATTCACACATTCACCCTCACGCTGACAGACAGGGGGGGCTGGTGAGCGTAAACAATGTTTTTACCTCTGCTACATTTGAATCCACCAAAGTGGGTCATATCAGGTCACATTCCGCGTTCGAGTATTTGTCAACGTCCCATTGGTCATATGCCTGTTGATGTGTTTCAACATGTGACAACTGTTCCCCTTGTTTCCTTGTGCTTGGCATTTTGTTTTCACGATGGTGGAGAACACGTCAGGAATCCAGAGCTGATTTCTTCAGTTATTACCCAAGGTGAGCCAGGGCAGAGGTGCGACGTGACGTCAGTGTGTGGCGTCGATAATAAAGATGAACAGTTTGAATGTGGATATTTAGGATACAGTACGACGTGCCATTGGCCGACACCAGGCCACAGGTGAAAAGATTTCATCTAAGACAATATTTGCACAACATTTACGAATGTCTTCTCTGTTTTTTTTTTGTTTTTTTTTGCTTTTATAAATTTACAAATAGTTCCAGCACGTGCACAACATTTACGAATGTCTTCTCTGGTTTTTGTTTTTTTTTTGCTTTTCTAAATTTACAAATAGTTCCAGCACAAATCAATATTTGTTCTGACTAAACTCAACTGCACAAATCTGAGATTTTGTTGAATCTCAAACACCTGTCTGGTGTCATAAATTATTCTGAACAGACACCCTCAAATGATCATTATTTTTATATGTAGGTCAAAACACGGTCGTTAAATTAAATCAGAAATAGCTGCGTAGGAGCTCACCACCTTTTTAGCTAATTTGAACAAACTACAATTTTTTTTTCTCTCTACAGATTAAATGTTTCTGCTGAGAGAATTCTCAGACTGTTAATCCTGTCTAGAACCCTGACGTAAACTGTGTACATTTTCAGGCCATGGATTGACCGAGTTTCACCCCCTGATAAATGGACTAATAACATCATTAAGAGTAAATAATCATCATCATATACCACAGTCAAGAATTCCATTAAAAAATAAAAAATAAATGAGTGGACATGAACTGCTGAATACTGCTGTTTTCACTGGAACGTACTTGTGTACAGCCTAATAACTGCAGACCTGCAGCTGTGTGACTGACACCGACACATTATAACTGATAATCACGTAATTATTTTTGACATGTTACTATTAGCGCAAACTGATACTCTGTTCTTAATCTGTAGTAAAAAATAATAACGCTTCAGCTGCAGCGGAAAAATTCAGGGCAAAGTCAGGACAACGGTTACAGTGACGACCTTTCTCACCATAACAGAAAAGACAGAAGACGAAAAAGGAGAACTAGAACAAACTGTCAAAACAAAAGAACACTGTAACTGCCTTTTAGTCAGTCCTCGACAATATGGACAATCTAGAAAAGAAAGAGCGTCATTATAAAAAACAGAGGCTGAATTTTATGTATTATATAACTGTTATAATAATGAGTGTGAAAGAAAATACAGTGTGACTCCAGGAACTAAATGAAACAACTGCATGTTCCTCCCTGACGTCTCATATCTCTGTTGCCTGGCAGGTGCAACCGGTGGCATTTACTGATTCGTAGAAATTAAATTCAATCCTCCAGCTCCAGAGTGTTTTTCAGGGGCAATTTAAATTATTTTGTTCCATTAAAATGAAAAAGAAAAAAAGAAAAAGTTAAAGTCATCAGCTTTTGGTTTGACAGTCTGCTCATCCACTCCAAAGTAATGTGTTTATTTTTTTATTCTATTACCTATTTTTTCAGCGAGGCCTCGCAGGCTCTGGTGGGTTAAATATACAGTAAATGCACGGGCAAATTTGTGAGAAATGCCACCTCATCAGCTTCAGTTTCAGCTTCAGCTTCAGCTGCGACTGCCCCGGAAAAAAAACCCAAAAAACAACGTTCTTGTTTTAACAGCCCTTCTCTCTGCGTTTCCCTTTCTGTGCCATTGCAAAACATTTTGTTCAAGGACAAAATCTGTTTGTGTCTATTTGTGTATGAAGAGCGCATGTCTGTACATGCACTTTTCTGTGCATGTACCATTCAAACGAGTGCCCGTTCCAGACCTGCCCCTTCTGATAAGCAGGTCTGGTACACTTTGTGACTGTCTGATTGAGGTCCTCCAGGGAAGGCCGGCTGAAGTGGAGGGGGTAGTTTGCATTCTTGGCCACTGCATGAAAAAAGGGTGCAACCATGGGAGTAAGCCAAGAGGAGGGCTCAATTATGCATGGTTAAACAAAGCCCAAGGCTACCAGTGAGCTATGTCTCAGTAAACTTAGCCTCACTGCGGAGCTCCAGACTCCAGGAGGACTCTGGTCTGTGGCATAAGGAAAAAAACAAAAACAAAACAAAAACAAAAGGAAATATAAAAACACATTCCCTGATTAATCGCCAGTGTGTTATGTTATGACAAGTCGAGCCGCACTCGAACTTGACTCATCACAGTCCTTCAAAAGCTGTGTTGTTAGGCAGAAAATGTCCACTTGGATGAAGTCAGGGTTTACATCAACACTAAACCTCTGTGAGCGGCGAGACGGTCCATCCGTCAGTGTTTATTATGACAGGTGAAAAAGACACTTACGAGATTACAATCTAAAAGAGACGAAGGACACTCAAGTTCACAGTTCTGCAGACGTCCAGCTAATGGTTATGACCACCCAAGGTCAGTCCTGATGCTAACGGCTAACTGTAGGTCTCACAGACTGGAAGCAGTCAATCAAAGGCTGAACAATCAAACCGAACCTTCGTATCGCCTCATTATTCTCCCAGTCAGAGAAGATTATGAATCAAAAACCAGAGGATAGGTTTTTTTTTTACAATAAATTTAGAGGCTAGATCAATATCAGTAGCACATCTTTTAGATCAGTGTTTCCCAAACTTTGTCAACAGACATTATTCGTAAACTTCTGGGAAACATGATGCGAGACGACCCAAAAAAAAATCTCTTGCGACCCACCTGAGGGTCCCGACCCAGTCTTTGGGAAATTATGTTTTAGGCTGCTTTACTTCATACATACAAGCTTTTGTGCCGTGATCAATTTGACATCAGTAATTAAACTATTTAGGTCATTTTATTGAAAAAATAAATGAATGTCGTTTGTTATGACTAGTAAGAAAAATGTATTTCAAGATGTTAAACGGCCAGAATTTGGTAATGTGATTGATTGGATCAAAAAATAACAATCACACAAAATATCAATATCATATTAAAAAAAACCTGTCATAAAGTAATCGTATCAAATCAAAAAATCCTGTCATCGCTCATCACTAGCGTGTGAGGTTCCACAGTTGACTTTAATGTAAAGAAGCAGAACGTTTGTTCACCACCTGAGTATCTGGGCCCAACCATGGGAGCGTAGGTATGTGAGTGCACACATTTCTGCAGACACACAAAGCAGAGAGTGTGGCGAGGCCTACGGCAGTCCTACCTTTAAACACATCACAGGCTAATTTTCCTCTGCGAACCACACAAACCTCAGCAACTGGACACTCAGCATTTGGCCCCTCTTTCTTCAGACACACAATAAATTGGAAAGTATGTGGCTTTGGTTACATGTAAATTATAGGCACTTATTGCAGAGCCGCGGTGGGTGGGGTGGAGGATCAGTATCCATGCATAGTACACACGTGAATGGAGCTACCTGGCTAAAAAGCTCTTTTGCCATATCTTCCCCTTGTTTCCCCTGGAAACAGGAGACGACGAGTGGAATCGGGTGACGCCGACATCAAAACGCGCACTCACTCACGCACGCACGAACACCGCATGTCACGGTTTGATGTGGTTTGATGCGGCTCAGCAGTGATTCAGGTTTTTGTCTTATAAATATGGAAGTGAAGCTAAAGCTGCAGGTGTTGGACGAGCTGAGAGGAAGCAACAGTAAAAAGTTCAGTTGAGGTTCAGGTTTTTTCACTGCAGTTTTCACCATGATATCAGAGCAATTGGTTTATTAGAATTATTACAGAATTATTTTCTGATTTCTTTATATATCCATTCTTGATTTTTAATGATTTGTAAAAAAAAAAAAAGGATTTTCATCACACTGTTGAACTATTGTGTTTCTCTGGTTTGTTTTTTTATTGTGAATATGACAACAAACCTCTTGAGAGGAACCACTTTGCCCTAACGCAGCCCCCCCGTGTGGCAGCTTGTGTCGGTTGCAAAGGTCGTCCATCCATGTATGTTAGTTTATCAACAAAAAAGTTAAAAAAAAGAAACATAATCTCTGGCCTTTAACTTCCTCTGTGACATAGACTGTGTATAAAAAAATGACATAACCAGAACAAGACAACAAAATGTTGCAACTTTCGAATTTGCAACCTCATAAAACACCATCATTTTGCAGCCAACTGTAAAACTGCCTCCCAGGTACATGTACCAGTACATGTACCAGTACATGTACCAGTACTGTAGCTGTACTTCATTATATATATTTAATATAAATATAAAACCATGACCTGGAGTCAGAGTTTATAAACAACCGTGGGAGTTACTGCAGAACTTCAACAACTTCCCAGTTAGAACCAGACTCTCCTGATAATGTTGTTGTGATAAACAACAAGTCAACTCAGTACAATGCTCTCCAGGCTTCTTCAAAACACGACTGACCTCATTACAGCAACTGGTTGGTTTGATCATTAAAAACAACGACCGAACCGAGTTCAGGTGCCGTCGACAGTGAACTCTCTCAGTCTGGAGCGTTGAACTTACCACAGGAGCAGCAGGTGAAGCAGTTGGTGTGATACAGGTTCCCCATGGCCTGACAGGCCTGGCTGGCTCCGTACACTCCCTTCCCACATTTAACACAGATACCTGGAGAGGACACAGAAGAAGATTTTTTAAAGGGTTCTGAAAACTCTGGTTTCCAGAGCAGTTCCATGTGTATTTTTAGTTGTTTTTTTTAGAGCTGCACAAAACATATGGTTGTCAGGAGTGGTGCTGTGTTAGGTGAGGTGCCTGCCACCGAAACTTTCAGGCTTAGATATCACCTGGTCCCTTAATCCCAAGTTAGGATGCTCCAGGACAAACTCTGGCAAATCACTAATTAAAAAAACATGTAATGACAATGACCTCGGAGGGACAGTTATGTAATTGGTGTCTTTTGTCTCCGTGTCACTTCTGTTTTAACAGAATATCAACATTAAGACAAACAGTTAACAGTTGTCTTCAAATCTCATGAATCAGGATATAAAAAATAAATCCATTTCATTTCAACAAAAAAAAAACTTGGGTTATTAAAAATGTAAAATTATCTTCTATATGTTTTCTTAAAAAAAAGTGTTTAACATAAAATATAAAATTCAAATATGTATGAGATTGTGTTTGTTATAAAATTAGATTCTGATCCGGAGCAGTTTCCGTTCCAGACTGATGTGTCACAGCGTGAGGACACTGTGATGCCAAGTTAAGGAAAACAGCGGCATCGTGAAATTAAAAAAAAACAACTTGACAGTTATTGTCAAGATAAAACACTTTCAGAGTTACTCTGATTTCAAACAGCCAGATGAGCGACCCACTGGGAGTAACCCACAAACCCACACGTACACGACTATGAAACACAAGCCTGAACTAACTAACGACGCAGGGCTGTGACCTTTGATGAAGACACGAGATTGGCAGAAGGAGGCTAAAAAGTATTTGGACAAAGCAGACAAACTACCTCCTGCCCTCGTGCACAGGACAACCTCCACAGGGGTCACATTCCTGAGGGAGTGCAGGGTCAAAGCCTGGGTGGGGTGACTCCAGGGTCATAGTGCCCACAGGACACAAGATCGCACCAGAACCTAATATGGAAACCGCACACCGGCAACCCCTCCTCCTACACAGAGATTATCACTTCAAACCAAGACTTTCAAATAGATACATTTTTTTTTTAAACCAAGACTTTCAAATAGATACATTTTTAAAAACAAACGTCACAGGAGTTCAATGCTCTTTCAGGAAACATTGGCAGAGACTCCCTTGAATATGAGTCATTTCCTATTTACACCATGTCCTGTACAAACACTATAAAATGTGTAGGAGCACAGGGAAGTCATCCAAAGAAGAAGAAGTCTTCCACTGAAACCAGTATGAGGGACTTCCTCAGAAGATGATCCTGGATTCACTTCAAAATATCTCTGTTTCTGACTGATGTGGTGCTGGAGAACGACAACACAATGCAATGTTGTGTATCAAGACCCTGAAATACTATGAAATAAAAATCAAGTTTCTGTCTAAAGGAAATTAACATGTTGAAGAGTACTGATAAACTTGTTGTTGTTGTTTTTTCTTCTTCAATATTTTCTCTTTAATCCTCATCATTTTGCAATCCAGCCATGGGTTGCGTGGGACGGTTAGGGAGGCCAGATTGGGCCCACGGGCCGCCAGTTGATGATCCCTCAAATACATCATACATTAGAAAAGGACACGTTGAAAAAGTTGCACAAAAATGATCAGGGAAGGAAATGCATGTCCCCAGGCTGAAAGAGGAAGCAGGAGGTCCATCTGACCGACCGTGTCATCACTGAATCATTTACTGTTGCACTGCATTCATTTCTTTGAAAATATTTACAGACAAACTGACACTGAGACTCATGACACGGTCTAGTTCAGCGTAGGTCAGCTGAGGCACAGCGAGCCACGCAGTTAAAAGAAAGAAATTCTAAAGATCCAGCGGTGACAAACGATGCATTTCAATTTTTGCGTTTTATCCATTTCTATATATTTATCAGCGCGTGCAGAACAGAACAGACTGTTTGACTCGTTGGTTATTAAAGTGAAAAGAGATTCAACGCGAAAAAAAACAGGCCCATGAGCATTGTTATTTTTTTTTTCACTAGCATACGAAGCGTTTGTTTCTGTTCTGTCTCTCGTTGTTCTCAAAGACATAAACAGACCCAAGTGCCTTTCATTGTAGCTGTATCGTGTTACTGCTAA